GACTAACCCTTGTTAATCAGCAAGAAATTGAATAAATTGAATGATATTTTGCACCTTTTTTTTCTATGGAAAATTAGTGCCCCTTAGTTTTTCAAGGCTTAAATTCCCATAGCTACGATGGATGTTGCACTAGTCATTAATCTGTAGATCTAGACTGTACCCTAAGAGACTGGCATGTTATGGTGATCAGGGAAGGATGGTGCAAATAGCGGAAGGGCCAATGATTTTTCAGCGGTAAAAGAGGAGAGCAGAAAAGCACATGAATTCATACTTGCATATCAGGGAGGTGTCCCTCACAGATGATCAATATAACTGTAACAGAATTGTAAAATTTTGAACAAAGTAAAATGTACGGCACTTACAGTGTTGAAGATAATCTCTAACCAAATCCAGGCTGCTGAAGTCTTGATCGATTCGGGAGCATCTGATCTGGAAAGAAAAGTTTATAAAAATGTAGTTCAGTTCATAAATTTACTGATCATTAATTTACTAAAATAATAATACTTGACAGTTTAACAAACCAAATTCAAGTATACCATATTTGCATTATTAATTAATTAGCAGCCACATTTGAAAAAGCACCTTGCAACCCCCATCCTCCCCCCACCAATCCAATTGCTGTGGAAACGGGAAACTAAGAAAATTCTAAATACAGATCCTTTAGCCTGCACAACAGTCAGGCATTACTTTTTCATGTTTTTCAGGCCAGAGGAGGCAAGCATTTGCCTTTTCTGGTCTCAAAACACAAAAAAATAATGCCCGCTCTGACATGCCAAGGCCAAAATGTGAAGTTTACAAAAATAACTCCAAGGGTAACACAGTCCCTTATCTGAATTGCTTCTCCCCCCCTCCCCAAACCAACCAAGATTTTGAAAATGATTCCCCAGCAAAATGCGCCCCCTCCCATCACAGGTAATAATGACCAGCCCCCTACAGCATGTTCCCTTCCTCCTAGAGACATTCGTGCCACAATAACAGAAATGTCATACTGATAATGTAAATAAATATTTACATAATTTCAATTAAAGTATGGTAGTCATGTTCGATTTTGTGTCTCCTGGTCTATTATAATTGTAAAGTTTTCAGTTCTTCTGCAAACATGCAGCAAATGCTCTCTCTGAAGAAGAATACAACCAAGCATAGACTGTTTTGTAGTAGATTATTTGGTTTGTCTTTTGTCCGTTATTCTTAAACAATAGCTAAAAGAGTGTACAGTTGATTCCCTATAACTCAAACCCTCGCTAACTCCAACCTCATGCTAATTCAAACCAAATTCAATTTTCTCATGGATTTCCTATATTTATACTACTACATGAGAAAATTCTGCAATTTGATTGGCTTAGAGCAGTAGTATTTCAGCTTAATTTGAAATACCTGCATGTGAAAATTAAAACCTTTTGTGGGTAGTAATATAAACAAATAATAGCATGATTTGTACGTGATATTTGGCATAAATACCACTTGTGATATTTCAAAATTGTCTCAAATTTCACTCGCTAACGGCTCGTGAAATTTCGTATAACAATTTTCAAATATCACTCGTGGTATTTATGCCAAATATCACTACAAATCATCCTATTACCTATACAAATTTACTGTAATTTTACCCTTGGTAACTCGAGCCCTTAATAACTTGAGCCTCCAGCTAAGTTGAAGTAATTTTTGTTTCCCTACAGATTATTACTGTATAATTTTACCCTCGATAACTCGAACCATGTTTTAAACAGGTGACAGCTTGAAAAAAAAACGGTGCACAACTAAACTGAAGTCTGAAGCACTGAATTTATTTCAAAACAACCATGTCAATTCTTTGTATTTACTTTTTCGTCACTCCAGTTCACATTCAGTGTCTATTCATGTGAAAGTGTGCATGATACTTGCATTCCCTCTCCACCTTTTTGCTAATTTGCTTTTAATTCCCGATAACTCAACCTTTTTTCGATTTCCCTACAATGTAGAAGGTTTAAGTTGTCGGGGTAGACTGTATTTAATTTACTACATCGGCCAATCAGAACTCCTGACCAGATTCAAGACAGATCTTAAGAAGCCCTTAGAAAAATATTTCTGTTTAGAATAATATTGTCAACCTAGAACAGTTTAATACTACTGGAAAAAAGCTATCGGCCAAACTTCAGAATACCCGGGCACTTCTTTGCAGATCATTGAATAACAAAACTGTTTATAGTGTTATACCTCGTTCTTTAAATCGTCCGACAAAGGTAAATGATGTGGCCGGGTATTCTGAAGTTGCAGCTATCATATTAATATGATCTTTAAACTACCGTCAGGATAAATAATAATTATGCTAAAATGCACCGCACGTGTAACAAGCACATAATTATTACACGTGCAATGTGAAAGTTGTTGAGGTAAAATGCATGAGGATTAAAGCAAGTTCCTATCACAACGGCAGTTAGAAAAGAAACAAAAAAAGGTAACACAGACCTCTTGAATTAAATTATTTTCTCTTAAAGCATGCAAAACAAGGCTACAAACCTTAAAGTCGAACAATACAAAAACATTGGTGAAGGGAACGGCGTCGCGCCATCTTTGAATTTTATGTTTGTTCCCAGTAGCCGAAATAATCACGCGGTCGCCAATTGTTGCGGCTACTTCGTCGAGTCGGGATTTTTTGGGCTTTTTGAGTGATAGCCGGAAAACCTTGGAAAACCCAAGAAAAGACAGCCAACCTAGCCTTAATAAACCCAGCCTACACAACAGGTGTTACTGAGTGCGCTTGGGTGAGACACGCAAGAGGTTGGAACTGATTAATTTTTGTCTTTCTTCTCTTTCCTTCCCCACGCGTGTTTCGCGCTCTCGCGCCCCAAAACCCCGCTAGTGCCTGACGGCCACTCAAGATGACATAGTTTTCATTGACGGTTTTTTCAAGACAAACTTACCTTTTAAAAATAAAACATGTCCATCACCTGGAGTCTTTGTTCTCAATGTCTATCTGCAAGTAGTCTCCCTCGCAGCAATTTTTGTCTCCTGAATAGAGGTTGGACCAGGGTTTGTTAATAATTAGCCAACCAATATCATACAGTCGAACCCCGCTATTTCGAACTCGGTTAATTCGAAGTCCCCGCTAACAATGCTTGACTCACTTGCAGTGTCCCGCTAAGAAATTCCAGCTGGGTTGTTCAATTACAAAACAAAACGCACTGTTGGTGAACTGTTCTTCCGGCTGAAATACTCATGTATGAACCCTGCTGTCTCTATTCTGATCATTCGACATTGTAAAGTAATGTTCTGAAATTTTTTTGGTGATTACAAACGTATTTTATTAAAAAATGATTCATTGTTACGAATTTTACGCTTTCCCGGTTATTTCGAACATAGCGGGGTTCAACTGTATTCTTATTTTGTAGTGCCTCATAATATACTGCAGTCTTTATTTCATGCAGCTAGATAATGTATTAAAATCGTGATTAACTCTCTGCGATTTAGTGTGTTGAATCCCCGCAGAGTACATCGTTTTTTAAGAGATAGTTCGTATTTTGAAAACTGTCGCGCCGTTGTGACCAGTGGTCAGTCACTTTTTAAGTGCTAAGGTGTCCCCTGAATGGAGGTTAAACCTGGGTGTCAGGACCTTGAAAAAGTGTCCCTTTCCCCTGAATAGAGGTGTCCCTTCAAAAGAGGTAACAAATACAAAGATTATGTAACATTTTTTGTGTCCCTTGAATAGAAGTGTCCCAAAGGAGAAGTTCCACTGTATCGATTGAATCGAACAATCGGAGCCCGGCATTGGCAAGACTCGAGAGAAAGCGCATACTGGCCGAGAAAGAAGCTGCAGAGAGGTGCTTCCCCTAGCCTGCGTGGCAGGCGCAAAAAGGGGAGGGGGAGGAAGAGGGAGAAAAGCACGAAAGAGGGGAAAGGGAAGGGAGCGCCTGCTATAAGAGCCGATGTTTTGGTAATCCGCCCACCATTTTCTCAACTAAAGAAGTTGCTACATGATTGGAGTAATTTTGATCTTCCAAAGATTATGCCAGTAGAACACATTTTCTTGATGCCTTCGTCATGTTTGTCTCTCACACTAATACACGCCAGGATACACGCCAATAAGTTACTCATTACGGCTCAGCCAATCAGGAATTTGCGGACGCCAGCGTCCGCAGAATGAATAAAAGGGAGTTCTTATGGCAGGCGTCCCTTCTCTTCTCTCCCCTACCCCCCTCCCTTTTTCACTACCCCCTACCCCTTTCGACGCCTGCTACGCAGGCTACGCTTCCCCTTTCTCGTCTTCTCTCTTGCGCGCGCTTGCCTCGTTTCCTTGCACTTAACAAGCTCCAGTCGCCCGTGTGGCTATCTTGCATTGAGGGGCTGCGAGCAGTATAAATTGACCCCCGCGGGTACTCCCTTATATAGCCTATACGGTGGTTTTTGACCTCTGTCTGTCCTTAACTCAAAAGGGTATTTAATTTCGTGTAAGTCTGTCAACAGGATATTGCCTGCACGATTGATTTGAGTTGCTAGATGAATTTTGTTTGTACTCCAAGTATACCAAAGTGCCTACCAAAGCATATATAAACGTGAATGTGCTCTGGCGTGCATTTTGTCCTTTGTCCTATACAGGGTAACAAAATGTTTCAGACCCTCAGCGACTCACCTATGCCCAAATATTGGTCGAGAATTGGCCCCGTCATAGTACGCTTTTGATGACTGGTCACCATGCTACTTGGGCTCTACCTATAAGATCAGAAACCTCCTTTACAGTGAGACGGGACTTTCTCAGCTATTTCTTTAACTGCACCAGGACAAAAGTAGCGTTGATGAAACCTGAATCAGATTAACCCCTGTAAGCATATCCTTAACCTTTCCTTGTTTTATGGTGGCTTACAGTTGTTGACAAAGGACTTATCGGCGTAAAACAATGGGAACAAGAGACGCGCAGTTGAATTGGGTTTTTTTTGTGCTTTGTCACGAAATCTCTCCTCTCAGTCACTAACATATCTTTAACAATATTGTTATACCGTTAACGTATCAGAGAACTGACTGACAAGATGGAGGAAGATAGCTTTGGCGTAGTGGATTACGTAGTCTTCTCTATAATGCTGTTGATTTCAGCACTGATCGGAGTATGGCAAGCTTGTGTTGGAGGAAAACAGAATACTACTGCTGAATATCTCTTGGCGGACCGGCGGATGAACTTCTTGCCGGTATCAATTTCAGTACTGGTCTCTTATCTTTCTGCGATTTCACTTCTTGGCCTGCCCGCGGAAATATTCTTTTATGGGACGCAGTTTTACCTCACGATAATTGGAATGGTTTTGACTTGTTGCGTGGCAAACGCTGTATTCTTACCGATGTTTCGTCGTATAAGGATAACTTGTATAAATGAGGTAAGGATCAAGAGCCCGTTTCTTTCGAGGTCCCATTGCGACCAGGCATTGCAAATTAGCCATAAGGGCCGAAGGAAGGTCTGATCGTGTCGTGTATTCAAAGTTAGAGCCCGCAGACCACCACGTCGTAACTTCAAGACTCAGCTGTGGCTAGCCTGCGTGGCAGGTGTTTGAACGCAGGCTAAGCTGTAGCTAGCTGCAAAAGCAACCTTAGTTTCACCTGTGTAGTCTTAACCCAGGGTCTTATCACGAGATAACACGCACACTTAGAGTTAACAAGGATGAGCCAATGATTTTGGGCCCTCTGGTTTTAAGGTTTTCTTGAATGAAATTCGTTTTAACTTCTCATTTTTAATTTATCAATCGGTTACATCATTCGGCATTCCTTAGGTATTGTGTGATGATATGAATTCCATGACCAGTTGTTTATCATACTGACAATCTATAGTGACCTAGACAATGAGGGTAGAAGGGTCAATCCCTTTCTAAATGCGTCATCAGGGATCATACAAAATCCCTTAAGTAGTGATTGCTTTTTCCTTTGCTGACGGCTACCTCCGGAGGGGTGGGGGGGGCGTCCCCTTATTTGAACTAAACTGGTATGTACGTGCGCTCCGGTGAACAGGCTATGGTTTGTAGACTTTTTATAGGGTCTTGACTCTTGCATCTTAAACGAGGTATACAATTTCACTATTAAGCGTCTTGAACAGGATGCTTTTCTGGACCAGAAGCCTTTAAAAGAGTTTGAAGGCTGGCTATTTTGTGAAACCAAGAATATTTCCACTGATAAAGGCTTATTCCGGGATGCCAATTAAAAAACTGCTTAATTTCTACGCGAAACGAAATGAATAAGGTCTTTTGTGCTAAAGAGGGTAACGAAAGTTATGATTTTTGTCTGTTTGAAGCCAGGGGCACACCTCTACCCAAACGTCCTTTGAGTTAACCCTTTCCCCTCCCCCGGTAGTGCTACAACAGTTAAAAATCATCTGCTTAGCTCCCGAGAAATGCTAAACACGCATAGAAACTAAAGTAGGAATTAAATGAGTGACCTAACAATTTTTGTTTCAGTACCTTGAACAAAGATATTCTGTTGGCATGAGGATGGTGGGCTCTTTGCTCTTTGGCATTGGCGTGGTAAGTATCGCGGGTTTTGCGATTTATTTTTTCATATCTCTCTTTCGTGAGACACGAAAATAACCACGCGCGTGACGTAAGGCGCGAGACAGAAGAGTCGCGGCCCTCGTTTCGCCCTCGACTTTCGCACGCGCGTGCACTCTCCATAACTAAATTAAAAGTCAAAAAGAGACTGCTCGCAGTCCTATTTGTCCCCATCATTCTTCCTGTACCTGAAGTCCAAAACGGTCACGACAGAAGCTTTTCTATCTGTACAAGAAAAACGAATTAGAAGACAAAACGAGCGGTAGTGCATAGAATCTAATCGAAGATGATAATATTGCGGAAATAATGAACAATCCCAACTCGGAGAGGCCATTGTCGACAGCTTTGGTTCGGGTAAGCTCGCTCGCCGTCGTTTCTTCCTTCAAGTCAAAGATATTACCCAACTGAATAACTAAGAACCACGCTATGGGGATGATGTGTATTTCGTCAGTGACACGGGTGACTCAAAAAAAAGAAATCCGAATTCAACCAACAGGAGCTAAAACTATGACTCTTAAGTTTCTAGACCAAAAGCTCTGAGGAGCTACAAGAGACTCATGAGAGCTAAAGCAGTTAAACGAGGTTAATGTGACGAACATCTGGGCGTTGCAGTCGTAGCAGTGTACAGGACGTTCGTTACATGTGCCCTAGCTTAGGTAGCATGCGTTTCCCTGTGAGATCGTCGAGAAAGTTGGGACGAGAGCAAAAGAGAAGAATGAGGGAGTAGGAGAAGGGGAGAGAAGGAAAGGTTTCCTCTTTTCCCTTCTCCCTCCCCCTTCCCATGTTTTTTTGCTCTCGCTCCACCTTTCACGAAATAACTCAATTGCAGGAGCCCATCAAATTCAATTGAAAACGCAGGCTACGTTCACCCAGCAAGTTTCCTGTAGCTCAGTGGGGGAGAGTCTGGTCCAGTTACCAGAACGGTGGCGGATCCAGAGGAGGGGCCTGGGGGGGCTTGCCCCTTCCCTTATTTTTAGACCAAACTAAAAAAATTTTAAGACCGGGCCCCCCCTTATCTCAGGGTCTGGATGACCGGGTACCCCCCCCCCTAATCAGAAGGTCTGGGTCCGCCACTGCAGAAGGTCATGGGTTCGATTCCTTTTGAATCGAAAGTCGCCTATTTTAGTAAGATTTCACTAATAACCATCATCCTCATATCATGTTGCCAGGCTTAAAGGTCGCTCAGTAAATTTTGTAACTGTGAAAGTGTTGTATCAACATGAACTTTGTCTTTTTATAATACTCTTTTTAATCCCTTTCATTTTATGCAGACATTATACTTGTTTGTGGCCTTATTTGCTCCATCTTTGGCTTTGGAAGCTGGTAAGTAACGTGACTTTGTACTCCACAACCTCCGCGTGTGTCTCTCTACTCTTTATAAACATCATTCACACCTGGAAGGGTCTAGGTACTTCACGTTAGGGATGGGTTGGCGTGGATCTCCTGTAACCTCTACTTTCAGGTCAGGGATTTGACACTGAATGGTTCTAGCAAAGACAGTTTTGGAATTAAACAGAGTAGAGAATAAGTTTTTTGGGGATTCCCCGGTATAATTAAGATCCTGTGACGAAGCATTGGCATAGACCATTTGTATCGTGAAGAGGAAGTCCGAAAAGTACACAAGCGAAGCAATTGAACGTCATGAATCCAACGTAGTCTAGGATGCATAAGGGTATCGTTTCCAAGTCTACATTTTTTATCTGCATGCAAAGGATCTGAGTTTTTTTTCTTCTGAAAATTTCCATCCCGTAAGCTACACGTTCAATGAGCGTGTGGTTCTCCCGCAATGTCATATCTAATTCAGGATGAATGTTTATGGACAAGATATTGATCTCAGTGCTGGTTCCAGACCTTGAGACCTTGAGATAAGGAGGGGGCCCGGTCATCCACACCCTGCGATAGGGGGAGGGGGAGTCTCCCAAACTTTTTTCGACCCTTCGGGACTCAGTTTAGTCTAAAAAAAGGGGGGGCGGGGGCCAAGCCCCCCGGGTCCCTCCCCTAGATCCACCAAAGGATTTCCGGTAAATTTTTGCTTGTGGGATCCGTGATCCTAAAAAAATTTTGCTTGTGGGACCCGGAATCCTAGAAATATTTGCTTGTGAAATTTAGGGTCCGGAATCCCACTAGCGATTGGAACCCGGAATCAGAGAGATCTGAAATCCAATAGCTAGAATGTGGAATCCAGAAGGCAAGGACCCAATATTTGTTTACAGAGGGTATAAGGAGTCAAAATGTCATTTGGAACAAATAGTCTTTTCTATTAACTCTAGTTGCAGGTATTCCACTGACAGTTTCTATCCTGGCAACTGGTATTGTCTGTACGTTTTACACGGCATTGGTATGTTAATAATTGTTTAATAGTTTTGCCATTGAGGGAGGCTGTTAGTAGTCTACAACCACTAGATGCAAATACCTAAGTAATGTTTGATATAAGTGAACCATGAGTCCCGTCCTACTGTGACGACTTGCACTTGATCGCTTCCGTCTTGGAGAGTCTTGGAGAGCTCAAAAATGGTCTGATCTCGGATTTCAAAAATTGTCTGGTTTCTTTGATTCTGAGCCCTTTGGATTTGGGATTGCCTTATATGGACCAAACCTTTCCTTGTCGCTGTACACCGTCTTCTCCTTTTCGGTCAATGCATTTAGGTGACGTAGCCCTGACTAAAGGCTACTCGGATCACGTGATCCGAAGCAAATAGACCACACAGAAAAAGTGAGGCAAGGAGCGCTCTGCAAGTCATGGCCCAACCCTAGAATGCAACACAACAACCAAAAAGGGCCCTTTGCGCGAAATGGTAACGCGCTACCTGTTTCTTGCTGTTGTTGTTTAATCGATTCTTAGCTTTTACAGTTTTCATATGATGAACTATTGTATATTTTTAGTTTTTAATTTTAAATCTTTGTACTATAATTTTTTTGGTTTGTTTTTTAATTTTAAATTTTAGGAATATAATTAGGGCCGTGGATTACCTATAAACTAGCTGATAGCTAAGCGTGATATCCACGTTAAATAAAGTATCGTGTCGTATCGTATCGTATCGTATCGTGGTACAAAAATCACCTTGCTGGATGGCAAAGGACGCAATGGGACCTTGAAAAGACAGGATAAAGCGATTTTTGAATGACCTTGAAATGAAGACGCGCGAACAAAACAGAAACAACAAACGAACGAAAATAGAGCGATTTGATTGGTTTATCGAAGGGATGCAAACGCGCGTGGCTTTTGGTTGGTTAAGCGAACGCTCGTATCGGGTGAAAAAACTTCATGCCCTAGAACTTTCTGGAAAACAATCGATACTTCGCTTTGACGTCATACTGCAACACGATTGGCCAATCGAACAATGCCTTCTCCATATTAGGGTTTTCTTTGGCGGGAAAACGAGGAGTCCATGTTTTGATCTTTTCATCCATTGGCTGATAAAACAATAACGAACACTTATTTCAAGGTCATACGAAAATCGCTCTATTAGCTGTTTGAATGATGTAACCTCCTTGTCTTTCTTGCCCCTTTGCTTCGTTTGCCATGCAGCAAGGTGCCAAATGTATCATGTTATTGTAACCGTATCGCGTGCAAAGGGACCATAAGGTTTTCTCTAAAGGTAGGTTAGAGTGCGTGTTCATGAATATAAAAACGAAAAATGTTAATTTAAGTTTACGTTTAAACAGGGCGGTCTCAAGGCAGTTATTTGGACAGACGTGTTTCAGTCAGTTATCATGTTAGCTGGTATGCTGACTGTGGCGGTTACTGGCACCATTGAAGTAGGTGGTGTGAAAAAAGTCTGGGAAATCAATGAAAAATATGGCCGCATCAACTTTTTCGAGTAAGTAAAGAAAGATTTACTTTTTAAATTATTACCAATCGTAAAGAAATAAGCTTCAGTTCAATGCACTTTGAAAGGCGTAACCCCTCTCCAGTTCGCACGTATGCGTCCCGATCAAGGTGGGTACGATACCAACCCCACCCCTTATCCAATGTTAAAAGAAACCTCTCACTTGGAACAAAATCTTGGGCTAAGGGAGTTTCCTAAGTTTCTTATATAGTCAAGCCTCAGGGTCGTCTCTACCTTTAACCTTGAATTCCATCGACAATCATTGACGTAAGTGTTCCCCGAGTGATTCAGTTCGAGTTTCACCAAAGTTTTAATTCAAGCTGGTCAACGAGGAGCAGGTTTTCCCGTTCAACAATTCAAGTTTATTGATGATTTTTATATATCCAAAATTAAAGCCCACTCTTTAGCTATATAACTATTATCGTTTCGTTGTGAGAAAGATGTTTTAGGACGGCCAGGCGTTGAGGCCGTTTGCTTCCCGAAATTCCCCACACGGTCCTGTTTTCTTTCATATGCCTAATGATAAGCCTACTCGATAAAGTGTAATTTGATTTTTTGTTTTTCTTTTAGTTTCAATCCAGATCCTAGGGTTCGTAACACCTTCTGGTCGTTGACTATCGGATTCACAATAACCCTGGTTCCAATCTGGTCTTTGAATCAGTACTTTATCCAGCGGTATCTCGCCGTAAAAACTCTCAGGGATGCAAAAAAGTAAGCCTAAACAAGAAGTCTTCTCCTTCTTCTTTCGTCACTTTAGATAGGAAACGGGGTCGAGTCAACTTTTGCAAGGACTTCTGGGACTGGAAAAAATGGCTAATAGCTGAGCGGCACGTCCCCATGAGCAATCCCAGAAAGAACTGCGGGGCACATTTTGGCTCCAGTTCCCTTCTCGTTTCCAAAGTGGCGAATGAGTTTATCGCTCACGTGACCTTTGTGTTGCAAGTTGTTTCCTCCACTGAGAAGAGAAAAGTACTTACAGTTAAAATCGTTAAATTCTGTTAAATTCTGTGCTGATGTATGTCCCCCTAGTAAGATTTCTTACAGCAAAGTAAACATTAAAAATCTTTGGATAATTTGACGTATGTTGTGATAGGGACATCAGTCACATAAATCTGTTCCTTTAAGTTTTTAACAAATAGTTTTCTTCTTCCTTGTATATCTAACGTTGTTTTGTATATTTTTTAGAGTTGTATGGCTCAATATTCCGTGCCTTCTCGTGGTGGTGACTATATTAGCTTTGGATGGAATGGTTATATTTGCTAATTACGCGGGCTGTGACTTGTTTGTACAAGGCAAGATCACAAGAGGGGACCAGGTGAGACAGTAACCTTAAACCTTAAAGGGGAGTGTCAGTAAAACGCGGGCTCGGGGTCTATCTTATTTTTAAAGAATGCTGTTCTGGGGTCATGGGTAGGATTAACACTAACCCTACGTACTATTTGCTGTCTTTTTAAAAAGCTAAAACCTTTGTTGCATCAATTAAATCTCAAAGATAATGATCCAGTGTTGTTATTTAAGAACACCTTTAGGTATTGAAACTGTTTCCTGTCGTCTGTTGCAACGGGTGGCAAGGATGGACATGGATTAAAACTTGAAAAATGTTGGGTCAACTTTTTCAAGTTGTAATGCTATGCCCACAAAAATCGCCATCTTGAAAATTGGCCATACTCTTTACTCCGACTTTTAGATAATTTTTCCTTACAAGACTGACTCCTAATAACTTGAAGTCCTTTCCGAGATATGCAGACGAGACAAAACCCATCTGAACTGGAGAATGAATGCATGATCTGATTACATCCCATGATCTCTCTAACGCCTGTTTACATCACGCGTTCTCTCGCGTTCTCTCGCGTTTTTTCGTTTACAGCACGCCCCCAAAAAGTATTATATTGTTGGTAGTTCCTGATGAAATTTGTCTGATATCTCCTTCATAATTATACAGGAGCATTTTGCGTATGAGTAAAGACACTGAAGTAATGACTTCAGCACAGAATTGACCTTAACCCTTTAAGCCCCAAGATCCACATACAAATTCTCCAGACTGATCTCCATACATTACTTTTAAGAACAGTTGAGAGAATTTGCTTTAAGATCAAAGGGTTCTCACACTGGTAATCAATTACGTAATTCTCATAAACTTTACTCTTGATGATCTACCGATGATGTTAGGAGAAAATTGATGTTGGTCACTCTTGGGACCTAAAGGGTTAAACAGCAATATCCTCGTGACATAGCCCCTTTACTGCCAAATTCGTTGTATCGCGCTGCGCGATAGACTCCGAGCAGTCTCTCTTTTTTCTTGGTCCGTCGAGCAAAAGGCGGGAGACACGCAAATGACACGTCGCGTCTCGCGGCTTCGCCGCTCGATGCTAGCGCGCGTGCACTCCCCTCCCTAAATCTGAAGAAAAAGAGAGATATGCAGTCTAGCTGGGCGAAAGTATTTTGGGTTTTTCTGTTCCGTCAATCATCTTGCCGGACCTCTTAAGAAACACAAAATCTCAACAAAAAGTGGAACACGATCCGCGGGCGAGTGTGTATGTCACTGTTTGTTTTTTGCCCGGGTCAATAGGCGCTTGCCTTTTTGACTAAGTATTTCATGACCTGCGCATGCGTAATGAATTTTTTTTCAGGTGGTTCCATACTTCGTTATTAACAAACTGGGACATTTAAGCGGCTTGTCAGGATTGTTTACTGCTTGTCTTTACAGTGCCGCGCTAAGGTAAAAAGAACCGTCAATAAATAATGCACTAAATGCTTTTGCTATTGGACACGTTTCTAAGTTGAACTTCAAAGGCACGAATATCTGTAGCAAGAAACTAAGACCAATACAATAACTATCCCCACGGTAAAATGTGGCGTCAGCTATAGAATCTCTTTTAACAAAAAGCTCGTACTGAAACTTTTTAAAGAATTGAAGCTTGCTTATGGAATCCGGAATCCCACTAACGATAAAAATTCCAATGACAATGAACCGGGAATCCACGGCGTGAAATCCAGAATCCAAGACGGGGGGGGCGAAAGGCTGGTACAGCACAAGAGGAGAGGTGTAACAGTTTATACTTTTAGTAAGCGGTAGCTTCTGTCCACTAAGGCGAAACTGACTGTTTTATCTGCCACCTGTTGTAAACTAGCCTCCCACGCTGACGTTCTTTTGGCATGTCAAGCAATCCTCCTCTGGGGCAGGAACGCGTGACGAAACCCTAAGAAGGTCTGCGTGGGAGGCTGGTCGTAAACTGAAAAAATGAATGATTGATTAACTCAGTTTTCTGTTAGCACGATATCGTCGGCACTGAGCGGCATGTCCTTAATCATGCTGGAGGACTTCATTAAGAAGAAGGTCAAGCTCACTGATAATGAAGCTACTAAAATCAGTAAAGTTATTGGTGAGTTTAAATTAAGAGAAGCGTATTCTCTTATGTGGTTTAACAACCTCGTTTGTTGTTAAATGGAATAAGAAAAACAAGAAATTTTCGATGAGGATGTTTTCATGTGCCTGTGTAGCCTGTAGAGCTAGAGGCTTGTGGACAGGAGGGGGGACTTACCTCTCCAAGTTTTTATTATTTTACTTTATTATTTTTTTATATAGGAGCTTGTAACTCCCCCGACAAACTCTTAACCATATATATACCTAACAATCCCAAGAATTCGTACGGGAGTTTTACTTTCTATACCCAACGTCAGAAACTATTAAAGTTCAGACCAAAAAAGTCAAGTTGTATATTTATTTCGACTTCCTCTTGGGTGCGGGGGGCGGGAGGGCGGGTGGGGGGGGGTTCGTGTGTTGAAGGAGTAGGGATGGAGGAAAGCGCATTCCTCGGGCCTCAAATGTTTAACGAAGATCGTTACGTGGTTTCCCTGTCTAGGAGTATACTAATCGACAACGCCATACAACCATGATGGGTTAGTCTCTAAAGTAGTTACTCGCTTTGTTTTACTCGTAAAACCAGCTTTTAGCGTTTACAGCCATGACTGTGTCCTAGCCTAAATAACGACGGAGACAACTAGAATTAAACTATTCCTTCTTACTTTTTAAGCTGTTGTGTTTGGCGCCATTACCATGGCGGGTGCATTTTCTGTGAAATACGCTGGGGCTATGGTACTACAGGTAAGAAGGAATACATCCAGGAAAAAAATCTATTTTATGATGTACTGAAATGTACATACTTGCATCACCATCATCATCATCACAATCACCAACACCAACAACACCAAAATGTTCATCACCTTCACCACAACCATCCACATCATTGTCATCATCATCATCATCATTGATCATCATTATCATTTCTGCTATTTTTAAAGAATTTGAAGTAAAATAAATAGTACCTATGTAGCTGCAAGTGTCCCACCGTCCCCCTTTCCGAATTCACTTGGATCCGCCCTGACCACTACTATAATCGTCACTATTACCACCACCACCATCATCATCATCACCACCAACACCGTCAACATCATCACCGTCATCATCATCATCATCATCATCATCATCATCACCACCACTGCCATCATCATCATCATCATCATCATCATCATCATCATCATCATCATCATCTACAGCCCCATGAGGCAGGATCACCAGTATCAGTATCATTGCCACTGTCAGTAGCCGCAGCAGCAAAAGCATCCTTTGAAACCATGAAACTTAAGGGACTAGTAAAAGAGCATTGTCTTCATGGGGTCCTAATTGGTATGCCCAAGCCTCGTGATCATCATTTTTGTTGTTACAGCTATGGTTTTTAACGTTAAGGTAGAACTGTAAAAAGAAGCCAACACATGTAAAGATATTATCCTGAGTGTATTGTTAGTATGGGTAATAGCATGATTTGTAGTGATATTTGGCTTAAATACCATGAGTGATATTTCAAAATTGTTATACGTAATTTCACGAGCCGTTAGGCGAGTGAAATTTGAGACAATTTTGAAATATCACGAGTGGTATTTGTACCAAATATCACGTACGAATCATGCTATTATTGTTTTATACTACTACCCGCAAGAGGTTTGTAATTTTCACATGTAGGTATTTCAAATTAAGCTGAAATACCACTGCTCTAAGCCAATCAGATTGCAGAAATTTCTCATGTAGTAGTATAAGCACTGTAATTTACCCATAGTAAGTCTCAGGTAAAGTCTCTAATATTCGAATTGATTACCAAGTGAACACCATATTTTCTAATCTCTTTATTTCTTTGCAGCTTGCATACAGCATTTCAGGACTCACTGGAGGAATTATGCTATCTCTATTCCTGGCAGGGTTTTTTATTCCAAGGGCCAATGCAAAGGTAAATTGTTTGGCTGTTGTTATTTTTCCGGTAACAATTCAGGATCCTGACTGGCTTTATTAGGTATCATGAACGTCCGGAATCAAAAGGTAGCCTGAATTTCAGACGATTACTTCGAGTCGTTTTTACTCTTTCAGGGAGATTGAAATAAACTAATGAGAAGGTACATCAAGCGGAAAAAGAATTGAACTGAATTGAAGAATTACTTGACTTTTTCCTCTTGCTCTCCGTGGAAGCATAGAACATCGAAGACAACTCGATAAAGATTGCGGTTGTGGGTGGTAGTCTTGGCCTAGTTTCGTGACAAAATGATACACCTCAATTAGACCAATTATGCATCCTAGATCTTATTTCTCGTATCCCTGTGGGCTCTAATCTAGAGCCTGCTGCATAATGTTCTGTCAGTCCTTCCTCAACGTATGTCAAATCTAACCCAATTCCTTCCTCTGATGGTGGCTTCAATCCTCTCTTGACCCCTCCAACAGTTTATTATGGGAGATTGCCCTTAGCCAGAAGACACCCAAAATTTCTCTCATCTTTTGTGATGTCTGGAGTTTCTCCTATTAATTTTGCATTTGTTATGTTCACTGTGACGACTGTGACGACTGCACGACTGCGGGAGCAGCTTTTATAGATATTGTGAAGTTTATAAGTCTCCAAATTCCCTTTTAGTTCCTCCAATTCTGTCCGGAAAGCGCTTCTATCTCGAACAAAACCCCATTAAAATACCATTATAACTGACAAAAGCCGGATCGCAACGCACCTATCACATTTAGAGTGTTAATAGCCACTAACATCACGGCTTAACTGACAGACGACCAATAAAATCTCGACCAATAAAGTCAATAACTAGATTTAATTACCGCCAAATGACGTGACCTGATAAAACTCACTGACTGGCGATTTTTTCGCTGCCGTCGCCGTCGCCGTCGCTGTCGTAGATGCTAAAGCCCCGTATCATGTCTTTAACGCAGGGTATGTACATGGGTGTTTTCGCTGGCTTTGGTTTGGTTCTTTGGGTCTTCATCGG